CCCATGCTCACCAGTAGTAAGAACGTTTCAAACGAGGCCTGCCTGTACCTGCACTACATGAGTGGAGTGATGCTGTCGCCGATCCTCCTGAGAAGCTCCAAAATTGCACGGCTAGTTAGCCAACTCACGGAGAGCCCCCACCCCTGGTTAAGCAAACGGTCCAAGATGCTGTGGGAAACGTGGCAGCGATCGTTGCGAGACACGTCAAACGAGCTAGATGATCCTGACTAGTTCGAGCTGCTTGTAAATAGAGGGCGGGCAGGAGACTTCAAGTCGTCCAAACTGGTTGTCATGCCGGAAAATCAGTTGGTCCGGACCTACAGTTTGGGGGTTTGAAAGCCTGAAGGATACGTGAACAGCGTCTTTGTACAGCGGTGTCATTCTGGACCAGAAAAGACGGTCGTTGTCTTCCTGTAGGCCCAGCTACAATCAGCGCGGTTTCTGAGTACACTTCTGAGAATTGTCCCGGAGCTTTCACAAATACTCGACAAAGCGGAAGTGAGTGTCGACAGCTTCTAAGCCATGAGTCGACCGAAAGGACTTGACTCGACATCAGGGCAGGAAAGTACACGAAGTAGGCCTCATAGTTGGCGAAGAGTGTACAGATTGACATTGCAATTCGTGCAAAGCGACTAGCTTTGGTTGGAGGGACTTCTATTCGCAAGTCTGATGCTGAGATGAGATGCATCGTGTTATCTCTGTTGCTCGTACGTACGCTGCAAGTGTTTCGATCCAGGTGCATCAACCATGCAAGTCCTAGGAGATGTCTAGTTCGATTGAGTGCATTTGATGCCCAAGTTGGAAGACCTTCCTGTTTAATCAATGACAAGAACTCAATAACCACAGGAATCTGCTGCAGTGACCATGTCAGAATTGCCACTCGCATGGAAACATTGATTGACAACAAGATTCCGGCTCTGCCATTCATATTGACAACAAGCGCCTCGAAAAACGCATGGCTTGCCTAGCTACTACACGTACATGACCGATCTAGGTAACCCGGATTCCATGGTACGCTCATGCGCACGTCATTTGAAGTGAATATCATGCATGGCCCATTCACATTCAGCTCTATTGTCTAGGTCATGGATGTACCAACTTCCAGGGGTTCAAGAATCTCAATCATACAACCAGCAAGCCGCTTTTAGGCCTTCATGTTATTATGCGTGCTGCAAGACATACTGAGACCTCACACGAAACAATGGCAAATTTGTTTGTGCAACCAGTTGAGTTCTATCCGAGTCAGATCAAGGCCAGCCTGTACTGCTGTACTGCATTAATGCATGCATTCAATCCGTTCTCATACCGTACCGGTACCCTGCATCATGGTCCGACTCCGCCCGCACTGTGCCTGCGTAGTGCGCTTACCGGTACACTTTGGGCAGCCTGATCGAGCTTGAAGAGGGCGTTGGCGGATGCGTCCGCAGTGACGTCAAGAGCGACATACAGCCCGGAGCATCGGGTAGACTGTCGCCAGAAAATGACATCAGCCGGTGACCACATGGTATCATCTTAGCGACCAATAACCAGCATTCTCACCTTTATTGTCGCTTCGATTTTGTCGTATCGCCACGCCCTCTTTGAGGCGGACCGGGTGGCAAACCAGCTCATGAATCTTGCGCAGACTGAGCTGAGTCAGCTGTTGACACGTGATTCTTATATAGCCCGGGCCGGGCTAAAAAGCTGCAGCCAACCACAGCCCTTCATGCGGCGAAGGGCTAAGGTATGGCACCGGAGCTCCAGAAGGTACGTACCGTACAGCTATGCATACTGCGTTGTCAGATGCGTGGCTGGCATTGCATGATTGCTGATCACGTGGATTTTTAGGCCACAAACCAAGGGACCAGATCTTACGGTTGAAAGACCTTCCGACAGACGCTTGGACGGCACACGAATGAGAAAGAATGAGAGGCATCGGGAAGTACCCACGCCGCCTTGATCCACGTGGTGAAAACGATCGGTGCACGATTCAACAGCAACGCAGCGACGAAGCACTGTAACCGTCCAGAGAGATTTTACGCATACGGAACCTTCCAACTTCCCGGGTATTTTGGAATCGCCCACGTTGATAAGTTCTCGAGAACCTTCCGCAAGAAAGCAATCAGGAAGCAGCCAATCACAGAGCAGATTTTGATATCGCTGTACCTTTTGCTGATCTGGCCGCGACCGGGCGGGGAAGCAGCTAGAAAAGTACAGCTGGCGGTCGCCCGGTACAAAAAATTGGCCCAGCTGAATCATTGGATTGGGAGGCACGCTAGCGGAGAAGTAACTTTCGTGGTGGAACAGGATTTGCAACGACATGGCGTTTGTGACATGAGAATCGAGATGGTGAACATTTGCAAGAGGGAAGCCCTTCTTGAGTAAACTGTAAAGGCTGGGCGCGACTTCTTGGGAGGAAGAAATCGGATCCGATTTGCTTTTCCTTTTCATGATAAAAGCGCAGCTCTTGGATTTGCAGGACCCTTTTCGCAAGTAGCCAAGGCAACAATCGGGGAGAGGCTTCGAGTTGGCATCTAGTAGTAGTAGGCAAACAGCTCATGAACCAATTCGGAAAGTGCTGAAAGAGCATTAGAGCACCGCGTAGATGTATGTGGAGTCAATGGAGGGAGGTGCGTCAGACCTGGTGGCAGAGATGGAAAGGGTCTCGGTGTCAGACAGGGACCTGTCAGGCAGCCCGCAGATTGCGTCCACCTCAGCCTCAGAGTCGAAACAAGATGAGGTAAGCCCTCATCTTGGTCATGCTCACCATGCGCGGATGCGACCCTTCCTTAGTTTCTTATCTTGAGGTGGATTATAGATAAAAACCTAGTGTCCTTAAAATGCATGAAAGACCTTTTTTTGAACCATCAGAGCTGCAAGGAAGTTTGCATGGCATTCATGATCTGGCCTTGCGTGCCTAGTTTCCAACAGGGGGACTGGCCATAACCTGTGGAGTTTGTGGGTTGTGAAGCTTTCAATGTGCACCCTCCGGTCCAGTTAAATCTGCAAATGTGCTTGAACGGGCTTGGATTCTGGACTGGATTCTTGACTCTGAAAAGGACAGAAAAGAGCATAATTGAATGAGAGTGGCATTATTGTGATTGTGATCATGCGAATTTGCCTACTCTCCTTCTGTTTCATAATGGTGAACAGAGTATCCAAACGGGCAGGTTCCTCTATAGTTGACAGTATTGATTGGTTTCTTGTAGACAGTGCTACTTCCTGCTTGATTTACTTTAAGTGGTGTGCTTTGGAATGGTGTACTTTTCAAGACTAGGTTGATGCTGTTACTGTGCCCTAAGAAGATTGATGTAGTGCAGTACACAGCATATTTCAGATAGTTGTGGTTGTTTTAACCATATTGATTACTTGCTTCCATCCAGACCTCTTATGTTGAAATTGTTTGTCTTCGCACATTTGTAGTTTAGCAACACAAAGATGCTGTTTCTTCCCTCTGCAGATCAGAACCATTTTTGTCCTTGGTTTCCCGCGGGATATGAAGGAACGTGAGCTGCATAACCTTCTCCGCTGGTGGCCAGGGTAAGTTGGTGCTGTCTAGTCTGCTTCCCTTTTCTTTTGTCCACAGCCACACCACCACATCACCCCTGGAGGTCACGCAGTCAAACCAAGAGGTTCTGACAGATGGTTAATTTTATGTGCGTATATACAACATGTGGTTATTTTAATCTGCTGAAAGTCAGGCGTGTGCTCAACCACAGTCCTTGTCATCACCGCTTGTATCATTGGGGCTTTGAAGATACTGTGGCGAAGGGAACAATCAGCAAGCTCGCTGTTCACCTAATCATAGTTTACTAGCTGTTGCAAGATCCTGCTCTGTCATTGTGCAGGTATGTAGCCTGTCAATTGACGCAGGGTTCAGGAGATCAGCAAGCAATGGGCTTTGCGCTGTTTGAGACAGCAGCAATGGCAACGGCTGCTAAGGATGCTCTGCAGGTGAGCGTTAGTCAGTCGCAAAATTGATCGGCAGTGTCTGGATCAGGAAACCTGCTCTGATGCAGCTGCGGCTTTATGGATGCTATGAGCTAGCGATCAACTGGATTCAGGTTGTCTGACTCCTGTGAGAGTAGGCAGACCAAACTATATGCTGACAATGGATTGTCTGCATTCGATTCTCTGTATTGTGCTTCCTTTCTACTCCTTGTGAATCTAGTAATAACTGGTTCTTTGCAACTCTAGCTAGACAAATGCACCACAACCTTTTCCTAAAAAGCAGCAAGAGAAAACCCAACCGGAAACAGATTACATGGCATCCTGCCCACGGTTTCTAATATGGTAGATGTCTGAAGCTTTTTGCTTTTGTGCAGAACTTGGTCTTTGATGGGGAGACCAACTCTGTCCTGCGGGCCGAGATGGCAAAGAAGAACCTGTACGTGCGCAAAGGTCGAGAAGGTAAGTGGTGACTGACTCTTCTTCTTAGGGTTCTTCAAAAGGTTGTTAACTTTATAATGATGGTTGCTGTGCTAGGCGTCTGCGCTAGCACTCTCTCTAGTCCACCGGATTGTGCTTCTGCATTCCTGTGATCCTGGGTTTGCACATCTCAACATCTCCTAACATATCTTCTTAACACAATTGGTGTCCACTCGGCATTGCCTGACATTGTTTGGCGCCATTTACTGATCTGCGTATCCTCACAGGAAGTTGCAGGGCTACAGTGTCGATTGATCAGGCAGCGAGTTTCAGCATAGAGAACAGTTGTTTGATCTGAAGCAATGAAGCAATCCTTTACTGAGTGCATTCCCCCCTGCTAGAGGAAGTGATGATCATAGTGATGCCCTCATGGCATGCAGGGGGTAACGATGTCCAGTCAGATTTACGTCGCATAAGGGGTGGGGGAGAGGCACGAAGGTCAGGTGGCGAGCCTAGAAAACCAAGCACGAGCGGTCAGGACCAAGCTGGCGGACAGGGGGGTGTGGGGCCGTACAATTGGCCAAATAATCAGGGGGGGTAAGTCCTGACACTCCGATCTCTGCAGGCTCCCTTCTCACAGGCCCCAAGCTCCTTTTCAATCAGATTCACATGGACCGCGGTCTTACCGGACACTTCACTGGGCCAGCACGGAGGGACTGCTATCTACTCACGCTTGGAATGGTAAACACAGAGGCGCTGTGGGCTCACAGCGCCGTACATCCCGTGCTGGGGCTCTTCCACACTCTATGGACTCACAAGTCCGCTGCTGCTGCTCCTTATAGTGGGACTCTCAGGCCACGGACCCAGCCAAGCTGTGCTACTCCTATGCAACCCTCAAGCGTTTAAGGTTCCGCTCAAGAATCAAGTGTGCCCTGGCTCAAGAATCAAGTCTGCCTGAAGATTGAGGATGAAGACTTGCTGCTCTTGAAGATGAAGGCAACCAAGTTCAAGCACCGTCTCGCCACAGAGTGAGATTCCTGGAATCTGCTCGGTTATGGAGTCAAGTAGGCATTGTACCGAAGAAAGAAAACAGTGTCACCACTACCGGCTACTTTGAATCCTTCATCACAAGAGGAGAATTAGGGAGTTGGGAGGATACGTTCAAAACTTAAGGAGCTCGGAGGAGGCTTAGAGAGCCTGGCGCGAAGTGAAGACGTCTGTAGAGCGCGAAATGTTTGATGAGGCAGACAGTGTCCCAGTCCAGGCTCAAGTGTGTCTTTCTCCTTCTCACTGAGGAGGAAGATCAGGGCAGTGCCCCTGATACATAAAAACGGTGTCTGTATCCTGAAACCTCAGCGTTCGGCAGGAAGGTTGAAAAGTTGTCGCAGGTAGATCAAGCAGTTCCTTGATCAGAGGAATGAGCACGCATGAATGCAAAAGAGCCGGCGGGAGTTGTTGGTAGTCAAGTGGGACCAAAGCGTTGACTTGTGGACATAGTCTTTATCTCAGACATCTGGTTGCACCTCGTCTCTTGAGATACTGCCTTGAGACATCAACGTTGTCTCCTACCAATTGCTTGCTTCGTGTGCTCCACTGGAATTGAGCATACAACCTACGGTTGCTTTCTAGAAGCTGGTCAAACCACGGAATGCGTTATCATCATTCCTGCCAGGCCGTTAGCTTCTTGAAGAGGTCGTATAGCTGGCCATCACCAATTCCTGATTGTGAAAGAGTTTTGAAGATCACTGCAAGCTTATCTAACCGCGCCGGAGCCGGTGCGTGTGTGCAGGTACATGCAGCAGCCGTCGTACAATGCGTATGCTAATTACTTCGCTGCAGCAGCGGCCTTGGGAGCGCAGCAGACGGGCCAGATGCCGCCGGGTGCGCACCCAATGCACATGCACCCCCCCCAGATGGCGCCCATGATGCTGGCCGGGTATGCCCCTGTACAAGTAAGTGGGGGGAATTCTCAAAGTCACGCGTTCTGTGTCGGTTTCACCCCCGTGCAAGTAAGCCGGGCAGTCCCTGCCTCTTGTCCTCAGTAAAGATAAGCAGCAGATTCTTCAAGGAGCAAGCTTCGAGGCTTCCGGAGCGCAGGGTGTGCCTTGATAATCTGCAAAGGGGTTTACCCTTGTTACTGGATTTTGAGCACCCTCCGGCTGCCCATGTTGTTTCCTGTATGTTTTGGTTAGTTACATCAATCTTGAAAAGCATCTCATTTGTATGCAGCCGAAAGAAGATTATTGTTTAAATGGTCTTAAAGGACGGTTTGCTGCACAGCCGACAGATATGGTGTTCTACACGAAACCCTCCGTCTTTCTTGCTTGTTTTCTTCACAGTTTGCCCCGACGAGATTCATGCTGCGAAGTCGTGGTCCCGCATACGGTTCGATCAGTCTCCACTTCTCAACCAGAACTTCGTCGCAGTCGGTCGTCCCGGCTCGTGCTGACGTCATGTCGACGTTATGTGCAGAACACGAAGGACAACCCGCCATGTAACACGCTATTCGTGGGCAACCTAAGCGAGAGTGTCTTGGAAAGCGAGCTGAGGGGGCTCTTTCACAGGTGAGGAGGGCCAACCGTATGTGTTCTCACATGCGGCGGCGACTGAGGTTTTGGGGGCAGATTGCTTTGTTTTTACGAACGTGCTTGCTTTGGTAGGAACATTGACATTCTTAATTGTCACTCTCAATGTGTCTCCCAACCGGTTTCGACGACAAGAGCTAAGCCAATTGAACATACCGTGATCCCTCTTCCGTTGTTGCTTGCTGCCCATTCCGTCGCTGCCTAGTTGGCTGTCTTTTTCGCACTGCCTCAGCGCGTCAATTCTAACCGCTTCCGTGATGCTGAAGTTCTCGTTTTCCCGTGCAGTCAGCCAGGGTTTCGGCAGATGAAAATCTTGCGGCAGCAGAATGGGACGACATGCTTTGTAGAGTTCATGGTAAGTCCAATTTCAACCACCGTATCAACGGCCTACCTTGCAGGCCTTTCCTCATCTTGCTGCATTTCAGTCAGCGGATTGTACTTAGATGCATTAAGACGTGAGTACCAGAGTTACCTTCGTTGTTCGGGTCCAGTCCGCTTTGAGGCCAAACGGTTTTGCACATTGCTTCGTTTCGTTGATTCCTCGATGACGTCCATTGCCAGATTTGGAGTTCGCTCGTTTTGCCGTTGCTGAGCGGTTCGCGTTCTAACTTGAAGCTTCTTTAACCCACAGGACATCCCCTCCGCAATGAATGTACACCACAACCTGCAAGGAGCCATCCTGGCGTCGAGCACCGACAAGGGCGGGATGCGCATTCAGTACTCGAAGAACCCGTACGGCCGAAAGAAAGAATCGCCGCCGCCAGCAGCTCACGACGAAGGGCAGGGTGGAGAACATTACCGCGGTTCGCGGCCTGCAAGCTTCTAACAACTTGCGCCCCTGTAGTGTTAGGTTGTCGAAATGGCAGACAGGAAGCAGTTTTTTGACGCAAGGGACCTGTGTCAAATATAGTCGTCAGCATGCGGTCATAAGCACATTCCGCTGAGATGAAGAGCGCGAGTAGGGCGGCACTCATTCTAGGCCTGTATAACAGGGATTGTATGTCCTCAGGGTAAGGCGACGATGGGGACCCTGTACAGAGCATCGAGCAAGTCCAAGCACGGGTTCCCAGTGAGCTACACGTTCAAGTTAGTTTTAGGGCCAAGAATCGAAGGGTAGGTTTGTAGCGTCTTAGAAATGAAGACGGACATTTCGACAGTAAAGAAACCGGAGATCCCTCCTTGTGCTGAGTTCAATAAGCCCCGTACGATTGCAATTTGCACGTATAACTCCAACTCTTTCTGGTCGATCATCAGACAGGACACGTCTGTCATGCACTATATTGGCATTTCTTTGAGATTGAGAGGGTATTGAAGTAAGAACATACTTCGGGTATTGCAATCAACTTACCTATACACCGCGTCTTGTGCAGTATCTACTGTAGCTGTCGCACACTATATCCTACTGTAATCGTCATGTAGGCCCGAACTGCATTTCAATTATTAGGAACTTTGTATAATCAACTTGCTATGGACGATCTCAAGGCTTCGATTGATTGTATAAACAGCTGATCTATACAAACTGGTAGCGGATTGTGCACCTTACGTAACCGCCAGCGGCGCCCTTCGAACAACAATCTTCGGCATGTGGAGTGTGCTTGCAATTTGTACGCTGAAACATGACACCGTATGTCTCCCTACATGTAACTAGGGGCCGCATACAACACCGAATGCATGAGCGCTGCGCCGGTATATGTCTATGCAGGCCGGGCGGCCGCGCAGCCACCTTTACGCCCGGCCGCCCCATATGATGGAAACTTCTGCACTACTAGTTATCAACGTCCCAACGTCCTAAATAGCCTCAGTCAGCCGTGGAGCACGGGCCGGTCACGGTATAGGACTAGGACGGCCGAGCATGGCCGTAGCGGCAGGACGGCAGCCGGGAGCGCGGTGTGCCACTGCCGCGACGCGGCCCGGGCCGCGGCGGCTGGGCTAAATTAGTATGCAAGTTGTACAAACTTCAATTAGCGCTCAGTTAGTTGAAATAGACTGAGGGCGGCCGCGCCGGCGACCGCGGCGGGCCGCAGGCAAGCAGCGCACTGAGTGATTTTCAATGGGCGCGCCGCTGCAAACCCGACGGTGCGCGCACTGCGCAGTGTATGCATGGCGACAATACCGTGTACTCGATGGGTAGCATGCCCCTAGCCTGCTGCGCTCAGCTGAAACCTGAATGCTCTCTCATTCAAACTTCTCGGGTGGCGGCAGTGTCGCTGGCAGCGCTGGTCTTCCGCGCCCGTTCCATCCCCTGCCCCTCCTCCCCGGTCCCATGATAGCAGCGTGAGCGTGCCCCCTGATCCACCATGTATCTGTACTCGCTGACCCTGCAGCGGGCGCAGGGGATCACGACCGCGGTCTACGGTAATTTCAGCGGGACAAAGGGCGCGCAGGAGATAGTGGTGTCGCGGGGCAAGGTTCTGGAGCTGCTGCGACCAGACGAAAATGGGAAAGTGCAGGTTGTGCACTCGGTGGAGGTATTCGGGGCGATTTGCTCGCTTGTGCAGTTCCGGCTGACAGGTGAGGGATTTGCTCCTTTCGTTGGTTTATTCAACTGGGATTGATTCTGTACGAGCTGTTCAAAAACTACAAGTACAATGAGAGGTGGGGTGCTTTCTTGGCGCCATCTAGGACTGGGATGCTTATGTGTCGCCGATCGGTGATTTTGGACATTTTATGGTGGACAGGGGGAGGAGCTTGCAGAGCGTTGATTTCATGCTGATGAATTGGTGGAATACTTTTGGGAGTATTATTCTGATGTCTTATTGGCGTATGTAACGCACCTGCTGGTGACAATTACATTCAGAAAAAAATGGATATTTTGTTTGTTGATGTTGTGGCAACTTTAGGCAATGCAACAGGAATGCTTGGTCTTTATGATGCAGTGCTTCTGGTAATGGTAAACGCTCCCCTTTGATTAGTCAACCTCAGAGCCTGTTGACATTGTTTGCACCATGTGCGAGCAATTGCAAGGGCAATGCAGAGCACTCCGCAATTACAGCTCGGAAGCAGAATTGAAAATCCAGGCTACCGTAAAACAGACAGAGAAGTCGATCAAAGAAATGGCAGTGCCATATTTTTCGCTGCCCGGTTATGGGGTTGTGTTGCTTCTTTGTTCCGGTTTGTTGCACAGGACGACGAAAGCTTGCAGTGGCATCCTTGGCGGCAATATTTACTGACTTGATCAGGCTACCATGTCTCTTGTTGCTTTCTGGAAATTGTGACTTTTTTGGATCCTCTGGGTTATTTCTGATTGGGCGCTGAATGGGAAATCGGAGTTCTGTAGTCCGCTTGTCAAGGCAAGGGGGACACTTGGTAAGATGCCAGTCAAGCATTGAAACTATCAAGTCTGCCCCCAGATTAATCGAGACAACTCTGCGGTGTCTGCAGATTGTGAATTTCCCCCTTCTTCCTCTTTGTTTTCTCTCTCCACTTTTCAAAAAGCGATGTCACTGTCCGCTTCTAAGTTCTTCTTGGCTAGTCAATGTGTGTGGAGGGAGATCGCTGCCCGGTGATGTGCCAAGCCCGGTCTGTGGCTGGATCTGCCACTATTTGAGCCGAGTGGAGCCGATGGAGTGGCATTCAATCCAGCTCTTAAGAGCATGAACTCTGCAGTTGCAGTGACTTAGCAGAACAGCCTGGTTGCTTCCACAGTTTTGATTAGTCAAAAGGACAGTTTTTATGCTCTGCTGACTTTTTATGCTCTGCTGACCTCAGCCGCGCGTTTCCAGGTGCGCAGAAAGACTATGTCATCGTCGGGTCCGACTCGGGCCGCATCGTGATCCTGGAGTACAACAAGGAGAAGAACGCGTTCGACAAGATCCACCAGGAGACGTTTGGCAAGTCCGGATGCCGCAGGATTGTTCCGGGCCAGGTGAGACCGATGCGTTGCTGATACTTTTTGACCGGGGGATCATCCTGGGCCTGGTTGGGAATTCGATTTTGCGTTTCGGTGATTGTGATCTTGACCAAAGGTAGTGGCCCCCAAGACAGTTCAGAGGGCTGGCTGCGATTGTAAAAGAAGTCTGATTGGTGGCTTGTGCTCGAGCAAATTAGAAGGTTAGACCTGGATCTTAAAGCATCCTGTTGTGTCCTGATGCTAGTTCCGGACAGGAAAAACTGCTTCTTGTGTACATAGATCTTGGTTGACACGGGACGAAGTTCGCTTGGGCGAGTGAGGTGTGCACTTCGATGTTGAAGGGCACGGTTTCATTGACCAGAACTAAGGAGGGAGAAGCTTCTTGTTTATTCTATTCCGTTTATGAGTCTGATTGTCGTTGTACATTCAAGTCTGGCTTGCTTTCTTGGAGATTGATTCGCTCAGGAGCCATATGCGCATTGGTTTGCAATTCGTCTGACGATCCACACTGAGTTTTCCACCCCTTGAAGATGTGTATGCCAAGCATATGCCCCGTTTCTCCTTTCGAAAGGCCTGCGTCTCGGAGAGGGTATCCGGTTTGAATACACGGACAGCTGCCAAGAAGAACGATGGAGGGCTATCTCTGCGGTCTCCTTCCCTGGAGAAGATGGTTGAAGCCCGGGAATCCAGTGCTGGTTGTTGAGGACGGGAGAAGAACAGAATGCTACGATTCTTTCTGCCTATCGGGGCCTTCGTTCGTTTCTTCCATCTCTCGCCGCAAACTCCAGGAAGACATTTCGAGCAGCCTTTCATAGCACTTTCGGACCTGGATGAGTCCCTGAAAGCAGCTGCGAACTTTTACCCGGATTCCTCGTCCTTTTGCAGTACGTGGCAGTGGACCCCAAGGGCCGTGCAGCCATGATCGGCGCCGCCGAGAAGCAGAAACTCGTCTACGTCCTCAACCGTGACAACGCGGCCCGGCTCACCATCTCGTCTCCCCTCGAAGCGCACAAGTCGCATACCATCGTCTTCTCTCTCGTCGGTGTGGACTGCGGCTTCGACAACCCCATCTTTGCTGCGATCGAGCTTGACTACGCGGATGCTGACATGGACCCCACGGGACAGGTAAGCATTGGGATATTTGTCGTTCTGAACCTGAGACAGGTGTCTGGTGTCGAGGGTTTCTTTTGTAGTGGATTGTTTTGCAAAGACAGTGTTTCTCTACCGTCTAGCGCTCGTTCGCTTCAGGTCATATCGAAGGATTTGGGGGCAATTTGCATTTCTCGGTTTCATCGCGTTAAGTTTGTGTCTTCAGTGTTTGACCAGGACAAAAACTCTCGTCCCTTTTCTTTCTGGGTGAGAGCACGCAGTTCGATTTGAAGACTCAAAAGGAGCTGAATTGTCTCCCTTTACCAACTGCAGGCAGCCGCTGAAGCACAAAAGCACCTCACCTTCTACGAACTAGACCTGGGGCTCAACCACGTCGTCCGAAAATGGTCCGAGCCCGTCGACAACGGCGCCAACATGCTGGTAACGGTCCCGGGCGGCGCCGACGGCCCGGGAGGCGTTCTTGTGTGCGCCGAAAACTTCGTCATCTTCAAAAACCAGGGGCACCCGGACGTCCGCGCGGTCATTCCGCGCCGCTCGGACCTGCCCGCGGAACGGGGGGTGTTAATTGTCTCAGCGGCAATGCACAAGCAGAAGGGGCTGTTCTTCTTCCTGCTGCAAACGGAGTACGGGGACATCTTCAAGGTGACGCTCGAGTACGAGCAGAAGGAGGGGACGGTCTCGGAGCTGAAGATTAAGTACTTCGACACAATCCCGACGGCCGCGGCCCTGTGCGTGCTGCGCACCGGGTTCCTCTTTGCGGCGTCCGAGTTCGGCAACCACGCGCTGTACCAGTTCCAGGTAGGTCTTTTCGTTGCTTTTGTTCAGGCTCTGTATATGTGTGTTTGGTCGAGGTATGCAAGGCGCGGAGGAGACCTAGCTGAGAGGACTGGATTTCATAATCATCCTCATTATCCTTATTAGAGGAGCTTCGAAGGCATCTGGATCATTATCGTTCGTAGGACGCGCTGGTCCAATATGCTTTTTATCGCAAAAGATGGACAGCTGTATCACTAAAGGTGCTTGCTGTTTGTTTGATGCTCATTCCATAAGCGATGGGTTGTGTTTTGATTGTGAGCGAACTGCTCTTTACTCAGGGAAAGCTCAAGTGGTGATGGCTCCCCGATCTTGTACCCAGATCTTCCTCGATTCCGCTGGTGAAACAATGCAATTGACGCCGAGCCGTCCGACGGCTGCGTGTGAATCAGTTGAAATGCATAGATCCTACAATCTCAAGGTGGTCGGGAAGAGGTCTGTCAGGCGCGTGATCGCTCAAGCGTAAAGGAGGCGTTTCTATCTGTCCCGATGAATGTCTCGCTAGCTGAATCCAGTCCGAAGTCTGACTCTTCCTCTTCGTTCTTCCCACAGGGCATTGGCGACGACCAAGACGTCGAGTCCTCCTCCGCAAACCTAGTGGAAACCGACGAAGGTTTCCAGCCCGTCTTCTTCTACCCGCGCCGCCTCAAGAACCTTGTCCCAATCGACGACATCGAGTCGCTCATGCCCATAATGGACTTCAAAGTCGCCAACTTCTACGATGAAGAGACACCGCAGATCTACGCGCTGTGCGGGCGCGGCAACCGCTCGAGCCTCCGGATTTTGCGGCCCGGGTTAGCGGTGACCGAAATGGCGGTGTCGCCGCTCCCCGGGACGCCGCGCGCCGTTTGGACGGTGAAGAAGAGCGTGACGGACGACTTCGATTCGTATATCATTGTGTCGTTCGTGAATGCGACGCTGGTGCTGAGCATTGGGGAGACGGTGGAGGAAGTCAGTGACAGCGGGTTCCTGGGCACGACACCCAGCCTGAGCGCGAGCTTACTGGGGGACGACAGCCTCATGCAGGTGAGAGTGCGCTGCAATTGATTGGGTGCAGAATTTTCCGAGAGCGAATTTCAGTACTCAGGACCGTGAGAATTTTGGTGCGACGCTTTGGTGGTTTGGCTGTACAGAAGGCATCTGAGGTCCTTTTGTGTCTCCTGACGTCTTCACTGTCTTGATTAGGCTGGTTGTTGTCTTCTTACGGCTCCGCTTCTTGAGCGGTTTAATTGTCCTTTTTGGTTTTTCAAATTTCTCAAGCCTCAGTTTGATCATTCAACATCACTCCGTTATCGGAGTAGTCGCACCCTCCAAACCAGAGCTCCACTTGTCTAAGCATTTCCAACTGATCCACCAAATCTGACCTGCACACGTCATTCGTATGCAGTCCATTTCCAGATCCCTTAACTCAACACTACCTTTTGCAGATCCACCCCAACGGCATCCGTCACATCCGCTCCGACGGCCGTATCAACGAGTGGAAGACCCCTGGGCGCATGACCATTACGAAAACCGGGTACAACCGTCAGCAAGTCGTCATCGCGCTCTCCGACGGCAAGCTCATCTACTTCGAGCTCGACGTGACGGGGCAACTCATCGAAGTGGAGCAGAAGGAGATGTCGGGCGATGTTGCGTGCCTCGACATCGCGCCGGTCCCCGAGGGCCGGCAGCGCTCGCGCTTCCTGGCCGTCGGATCGTTCGACTCGACGATCCGGATCCTGTCGCTCGACCCCGACGACTGCATGCAGATCCTGAGCGTGCAGGCGCTGACGTCACCCCCCGAGAGCCTGCTCCTGCTGGACGTGCAGACCGGCGCGGTCGAGTCGGAGCTGGGCGGGACGCGCTCGGTGTTTTTGAACGCGGGGCTGCAGAACGGCGTGCTGCTGCGGACGGAGGTGGACATGGTCACCGGACAGCTGTCGGACACGCGGACGCGGTTCCTCGGGCTGCGCGCGCCCAAGCTGTTTGCGACCCAGGTGAGGGAAAATGCAGCTTGAGGCTTGGATGGCTGGCTGCCTGGTTTCACAAAGGCGCAGTAGGGGTTGATGTAATCCAATTCACTCAGCTGGAGGGGTTCACAAGGGGGCAATAGGGGCTGCTTCGCAATCAGATGTATTGCGCGGACAGTCCCTTGGTTTACCCTGTCCTGCTTTTTTCCCAGCTTCGCCCGCTCGATCAGCTGGCCGCTAGCATCTGCCACTGGGCTTACTTGTACAATTTCAGTCAGCCAATCATTTTCTGAATAGTCTCTGATCAACCACGACCTTCTTCGAGGTTTGGTTCATCAATTTTCTCCTCGGCCTCTGAAACTGTTTGCAGAAGTGTGTATGCGACGATGCAGATGGTTTGCAAGACCCGCAAAGAATTTTTCCGGCGGTCTAACGGCGTACGCAAGCACGTTCGTTTCTTGCGCTGACGCTCAGAACTTGATGTCGTTGCAGGTGCACGGCACGCGCGCGATGCTGTGCTTGTCCAGCCGCCCGTGGCTGGGTTACACGCACCAGGGCCACTTCCAGCTCACCCCGCTCTCGTACGAAACCCTCGAGCACGCGAGCAGCTTTTCCAGCGACCAGTGCCCCGAGGGCGTCGTTGCGGTGGCCGACGATCAGCTGCGCGTCTTCACCATCGAACGGCTGGGGGAGACGTTCAACTCCACCGCCGCGCCGCTGCGCTACACGCCGCGGAAGTTCGTGCTCAACCCGACGCACAAGAACGTGGTCGTGATCGAGGCGGATCAGGGCGCGCTCACCGCAGACGAGCTCCAGGCGGCGATCAAAGAGGCGGTGGAGAACAACAACGAGGCGGCGGGGGGAGATAAAATGGACGAGGACAAACCGGCGGAGGGGGGGGAGGACGAGGAGAAAGAGGACCCCCTTCCCGAGGAGCAGTACGGGTATCCGAAGGCGACGGCGGATTCGTGGGCTAGCTGCATACGTGTCATTCGGCCGTTCCCGGAGGCGAAGACGACGTGTCTGCTGGAACTGGAGGCAAACGAGTGCGCGCTGAGTTTGTGTTTGGTGAACTTTCATGATAAGGAGGGGCTCGGGACGCTGCTCGCGGTGGGCACCGCGAGGGACCTGCAGTGGTTCCCGAAGCGGGGGGGCAGCGCGGGGTTCATCCACGTGTACAGGTGAGCTGATATCTGTGGAGAGCGATACCGAGGTCACAGAGCCGAAGCCTGTTTTTTAATTAGCAGGAGACGAGGGTCTGCAGGAACGATTAAATTGCAGAATAAGAAAAACCATGGATGCACTTATTGCGAGGGCAGTGATGAACCTGTCCTTTCTATTATTGTCATCTTGTCACTGCATATGCTTCTCCCTTGATGTTCAAAACACGACAGGACTTCTCTCCGACTGACGCGATTCAAGACGGCCTTCAAGTTTAATAAAGCGCTTCAGTCCTTTGTCTCCTGTTGTGTAAAGTCTGCAAGGTGATCGAAGAGGTCTTGCTGGGTCGAGGATATGCATTCGACTGCTCTCGCCTTTTGAATCCAGACAGTCTCTCCTCCTTGCAGAATATCATCATAACCTCAGAGGACCCCGCCTTTTACCTCCCTGCAAAACGCCCCGCTTTTCTTGCCCCCTGCTGCGGATCCTTCATGGACGGCGACCGGCTTCAGCTGGTTTACAAGACACAGATCATCATTCCGACCAGATTGTCATTCCCACCTTTCACCTCCCATGAAACGCCCGTATTCTGCCCCTTGGCTGCAGATTTACTGATGACGGCGACCGGCTCCAGCTGGTGCACAAGACGGGATGCATGACTCTGACCAAAATCCACCTTTCCACCCCCATAAAACGCCCGTTTTTTCTCCCCCCCCGGCTGCAGATTTACCGATGACGGCTACCGGCTCCAGCTGGTGCACAAGACGCCACAAGACGCAAATCATGATCCCGACCAGATTGTCATTCCCACCTTTCACCCCCCATAAAACGCCCGTTTTTCCTCCCCCCCGCGCTGCAGATTTACCGATGACGGCGACCGGCTCCAGCTGGTGCACAAGACGCAGGTCGACGGCCTCCCGACCGCGCTCGGTTCGTACCAGGGCCGATTACTGGCCGGCATGGGCCAAACCCTCCGCATCTACGACCTCGGCAAGAAGAAGCTGCTGCGCAAGTGCGAAAACAAGCACTTCCCCAACACGATCGTCTCGATCCGCACGTACGGCGATCGGATATACGTGGGCGATATACAGGAGAGCTTCCATTTCGTGAAGTATAGAAAGGACGAGAACCAGCTGTACATCTTTGCGGACGACGTGGTGCCAAGGTGGCTGACTTGCTCGCTGCACATGGACTTTGACACCATGGCGGGCGCGGACAAGTTTGGGAACGTGTTCATGGCGCGGCTGCCGCAGGAGGTGTCGGAGGAGATTGAGGACGACCCCACAGGTGCGTGCGCAATGCCTTACTCCTCTACCCCGTGGCTTTTACGTCCGGTTGACTGTACGCGTTTCAAAAAGCAGAACTTGAGAGATCAAGGTCGAAACGGTGATGATAGTGAAGGTTGCCGGGCTTGCCATGTGCACGTTGCTGGTCTGTTTGTCTGCCCCTCATAGCTTTGGCCTTCCGGTCCCTTGTCTCCAGACAAGGTGAGGTGGAGGGTGGCAACGTTGGTAGGGACCCGCTTTGAGTCGGTTGCAGAACTGGACAAGAATTCGTGACTTTCCGATCCGCTCTTCTCGCTCACAACGGCTGTCCATTACATGGATGATAATCCGGCTTTGTTGAAGGGTAGCTCGCAAATAGCGTCTCTGGCGCTGCCTGTTCGTCGACGTTGATGGAAATTCCGCCCGGATCTTAGCATGACGGAAAGACGAGTCAGGTACCCCTCTCAAACCAGAACTTACTCCTGCATATCCTTTCGCTTCTACTTGTGATTGACTGTCCCTCACTATCACAGGCGGCAAAATCAAGTTCGAGGCGGGCCGGCTGAATGGCGCGCCCAACAAGCTGGACGAGATCATCCAGTTCCACGTGGGGGAGGTCGTGACCGCCATGCAGAAGGCCGCGCTCATTCCGGGGGGCCAAGAAGCGCTCCTGTACGGAACGATCATGGGCGGAGTCGGCGCAATGCTCCCGTTCACGTCGCGCGAGGACGTCGACTTCTTTTCGCACCTGGAGATGCACCTGCGGCAGGAGCACCCGCCGCTGCTGGGGCGGGACCACATGGCGTTCCGGTCGGCCTACTTTCCGGTCAAGGTGAGCCGGATCGCCTGTTTTGGCGCCTGAGATGCCTCGATCTGGAAGGAGTTGTGGATGATTCTCCTTGTCCAGGAAGTCTTTCTTTGATGAAGTTGCCTCGTTCTTCCTACAAGAAGTCGTTTGAGGACTCACGGCTGCTGCCTCCAGTCAATCTTCTGTGTTGTTTCACTTAGAACGGCCGGAACGAGCCCCATTTCGTATTCAAGTCGTGACCCAGGGTATTGCGTCAATTCCTCGGCTATTCAGTGTGGTAATGAATCATCGTTGGCAGCAAAAGGAGTCTACTGCGGTTGTCATCTGCGGTTGTCATCTGCGGTTGTCATCAAGTTTGTGATCCTGTTCTCTTGAGCGGGGTACAACAAAGATTGCATCAGCCCCTACGGGCTGCAGACCAATTGATTCTTGCTGCTGACTGCATCCCTCTACCGGTACTTCCTGAGAATGCTGTAGTTTCACTTTGCCAGACCCTGGGTTCAGCTTCTGAGGTCAGTACCCTTTGTTGAAACGAAGGCGAACGCGATGCTGATGACTCCGTTACTTCGTCTTGTGTTCTGCTTCTCAATGTATCCCTCGTCCTCCTACAGGATGTAATCGACGGCGACTTGTGCGAACAGTTCCCCATGCTTAACGCAGAAACGCAGCGGAAAATAGCCGAGGAGCTGGACAGGACGCCGGGGGAGGTTTTGAAAAAGCTGGAAGACATCCGAAACCGAATAATCTAGAGGCGGTCGTTCACAGAAGCTCTGTGAATATTGTACGATACTTGAACTGACCTAATCTGGCTGGAGTCATGCATTTCTTGAATTCTGGCCGGTGATGCAACCGCCAATGCATGCGGTGGCATGTCGTTAGAGTGTACGTTGTCAGCTTGAAGCCATTTGAATCAACGCAACAATCCGGATCCGGATGCATCCGGCAGCTGCTAATTGTGCTTGCATGGTCCACTTGCATTTTTCAGTGTAATTTAACCGTCGGGCAGCTGCTGATCGTGCGTGCCCCTGCTCACAACCGCATGCATGCCACTATGGCAATGTAATACGTTTGCTGGCATGAGCGTTCGTGCAGGCTCCATATTCGCGAGCTAGCTCCGCGGTGCGGGCGCCGCATGTACTCGCGGTTTGATTTGGATGTATATACAAGGTAGAGTGACGTTGCAGCTCGCGGCCTTCAATCTGCAATTTGGATCATTCCCGTCTGGATGCGAACGCGGACCAATTGCACGCAAGGATACAACATGGATTGAGGTTAATCGTACCCCTACATTCGTCATGATCTGGTGCATGAACTTATCCACGTGACTGAGTCAGTTATCGATGTAACTGATCCGACATTGATTTACAACACATGCATCTTGGATCGCCGTCGGATGGTAAGGTTCCGTGTACGAACGTACTTCGTTAACGGTCAATGTATACCATGATCTGCAAAATCCTTTTTAAGTGCAGGCCGCGGTTAAATCAAAGAAACAAGTCGCCATGCAGCTTCGTTAATTTCGAGTCTCATGAATCTGAAGGAGCTGCAGCGTCAATGTGCATAAAGCCAAGCTAGTGCCCAGCTTACATCACTAGAGATGGTCGCCATCATATTTCCACGCCGTTTGCTTATTGCAACCAGTTGACAAAGAAGAATGCTTGGTCAGCTCGTCACCTTCTTTACTTGCCCCATCGGAAGCAGGCTTCCATCATCAACTCCGCGCCCCGGGCGCTGGCCTTTCCACTAGCCCCGATCGCGGCAGGACATCTTGAAGTCGGTCCCGAAGCCACCAGAAAGACAAAACACTTGGAAAGGTCTCGAGCAGGTCTGCAGCAATCTCGCAAATGATAGTGTAGGACAGAATCGATCATCTCGAGCGGGCCGGCTCGAATCATTCCTTCTGGAATGTTGGCACCCTTTTCGCCTGTCCAGGATCCTTTCCACTGGTGCCTGGTACTCACCCGGCCGTGAAGGGCCGACAACCTGCCACGTCAGCGGCACAGCTCCTTGTGCCCTTCTTTCCACGCCAGCTTCTGGCACTCTGCAGAGGAGAAAGGAGCAGATTCTTTACGATGCATCGACGAAGGACATCAAAGTTTGTCCCTTGTGCGCCAGACAACGCCCAGTTTCCGTGGGTTTTGACAAACCCCCGCATTGAAGTCAACCTTGTGCTCAAGCAAGAACGACGGCAAATCCTTACTGGACCGGCACTTAAAGCACTTGAACAGAGAACTAAACGTTTACCCAAATCAAGCGAAGACCAAACATACCGTGATTGGGTCGTCGACGTGTAATCAGCTGCCCAAGAAAGCATTGCACATGGAAAAGATTGAGTATCCACATGTTTGACTGACGCTTACCCCTGCTGCAGTACACCGCAATCTTGCATCTTCCGCACTTCTTGTACGAGCCAGCTACGCTTTCGATCATGCGGCATCGAGTGTTTGAGCATTTTCTGCGCTCCACATACACGTGGCGTTGCTTGAGTGGCAGGTTGGAGGTTTCCAGATCCACGCTGTCCGCTCGCTCCTTGCGCGCTTTCTGCGTCGCTTTACGTACAAAAACGTAATGTGCTCCGCAGCTTTCTTCTGACGGAGTTGAAAAGACTTTGCGCAGCTGAACGCTCCTTCGCACAGCGCCTTCGTCGGCCTCGAAACGGTCGGTGAGAGCCGCATGCATCTGTTCCGCCGAGAGATGGTGAAGCTCGTTTCTCCAAAATTGCTGCGCCGCAAAGAGGATGAAGCGCTGGAGTGCTCCGCCAACTTGGTTTCCCAAGGAGTACAAGGCAAGTAATGAGGATTCAAGGGATGAGTAGTCCGAGAGCTGTAAGATGTCCTCATTTTCTTTTAGTGTTAGATAAAGGAGCCGAGTTGCCACATCGATCCGCTCTTTGCTCTGACAGTTTGCCAGCACATTTTCCACGAGCTCGTACAACTCGCTTCTCAAAGTTCGCAGATCAGCCCTCTCGGTCGCAGCTGCATTATAGACGATGCCACAGCAGAGAAAGTAGACTTGGACATACGCTTCTTCGTCCTCGCCCTTGATGCTCTCCGCATAGCTAAGCACCCCCTAGTCCAAGAAAGGAGTATCTTCAGCAACTTTCTTTGTGTAGCTGCGAGATTCTTGCATCAAAGACATCTGAAGCCTCACGATCTCCATTCTCGCCGCTTTCTGGGGTTCAAATGCCACTTGGAGATCCATCCCTTCGTTGGACATCCTCATCGTGAAAATAGCTCTTGCAACCTGTGCCACATCTGGGAACTCCTTGAGAACGAAAGCTACACAGCGGGTGTCCATTGCCAAAGAAGCCAAGCACTGAGCGTAGGTCAAAGCTTTGTTGACTCCGATGAATGCAGCTGATGTCGAGCAGACAAAGAAGTCCATTTCAGGTAGAACGTGTAACCACCCTCCTGCTGCGACTTCTCTCATACCAGCAGCAACTGCCCGCACAAGGCCCCTCTGGAGCAGAAACGACGCTAGATTCAAGAGGATCTGAGTCTCACTGTGCGATTTGAGGATTTTCAAGCACTGCTGCATGTGATACGCTCTAATCAACCTCATCTCTGGATCTTCAGAAAGTGCTGATTTCAGGATCTCAAGCACCAGGTCAGAGCTCTCAGGGTTTTCTATCCCTGCGCTCTTCATGACTTTGAGAAGACAGTCATCTCCTGCGCAGCCACAATCCTGAGATCTGCGCAACGATTCAGGAGCTGCACCTGCGCTTGCTGACGACGCCATTGTTATACCCACTCAATCAGAAGGCAGCCTTTGTAGAACCAAGTGTCCCAAGCGACCCCAATTCTTGGCTCTGGCCTATGCACGACATATGGTTCATCTTTGTCTAGGCTTGTGAGCACGACCTGCGGCTGCCGGCTAAAACGGAAACCCTCGAGGAGGGCGGGCTGCGGTCAGCTGCGGCTCCCAACTTCTCTCCTCTAGGCTCTACTTATGTAACTCACGCGTGCATGCAAGCCAGCGTCAAAGCCTTTGAGCAAAACTTGAAGTTCGCGCACTTCGTGAAAATGTTTGACGATGCTGGCAACTCTTGCTTTCCTGATGTCAACAGCAGCTTTCACAAGAAACAGGAGCCCCGGGCACCTCAAACCGAAAATCCTAACCTTTGACATAACCCGCTCCGCACCAGCACCCGCCCTAACCGCCTAACTAACCTCAACCCGTCCCCCGGGTGCCTATCTTGGTGAAAGTTGTCGTCAGTGAAAGCAAAGTTGCTGCTTAACGGAAGTGGCCGACTCACCAGTTTATAATCCAGAGTCACCAGAGTTAATCTGGACGGCCCTTGCAAAAGAGGGCCGTCTGATGCTTTGGGCGTAGCCATCGGACGGTTCAGGGTCTGCTCTGTCTGTGACAAGCGCAGCCCGAACTTGCTCAAAGCGGCCAGGTTTTGGACAGACTGCGGTGCGCCTGTTGATCGAAGCGCAAAGCTTGGATACTGAAGACTGCACATCCGTTTGTCCGCTACTCTCGTGCTGACCAAGTACGTTCAAAACGGGGATGCCTGAAGCCGACGTCGTAATTGCCGGGGATGAATAGATGCACGGTGGGAAGATACAGCTTTGACATTGAACTAGGTCTTGAACCGACCATCGATCTGCGGTGCGCTTCAGCGCTCCACGTATGAAAGCAAGCATGCAGGCACGCTGTCAATTGAGGCGGACACTCTATTGCATGCTCTGCATTCCAATCAGAAAGGCCGATTGAATCGAATGAACGCAACGAAGCAATCGTATCATGGTTGACTAACCAGTTCAACAAAAGATCCGACAAGTGCAGGTCCTTTACACTCTGCTGCTCTCAATAATGGCAGCGGGTCCCCGATCGTAGTCAAATTGTACACTCTACGTAACTGAGAAAGCCTACTAAAGGTGACATAAGATTGGCAAGGACGAGGACCACTTATGCTGTCCTTTGTAAAGAGTTGTCTTGCACGGATCCGTTAAAAGAGGGCAATCGGCCTATGATTTGCTACACTGTTTTCAGGAAGCCCCACATCTCTCGAGAAACATTAGCCTCGACGCTGCGAAACTGCTTATATACAGACTGTCAAATGTGCGGAACACCTACAACAGTCGTGACTTCTTCTTTTCAGGTCACTCGCAGGCTTAGGACCAAACCCTCGCCCCCACACGCCCAGACCGGCCGCTCGTGCAGCGCGAGACCCTCGAACTCGGGGCACCCGTCCTTCAGCAGCTCGAAGACCTTGACGAAAGTGAGTGCGCGCCTCGATCGTCCTTCGGCGCGCGCGCGTTCTCGCTTAGCTGGGGGCAAGAAGCCGCGGCTGGCCGTCATCGCTTCATCGATCTCCCGGTCCAGTCGCTGGGTAATCCAGTCCTCCTTCAGGGCCAGGAGCTGCTCGAGCGCAGGCCTGCCCGGCGGAGTCGACCGGGGGACGTCGAAGCTCTGGAGCCGAGCGAGGGAGAAAGGGCCCGGCGGCCGGCAGAGGCGCTCGAAATCTGCGTGAGAAAGAAGAAAGGGTTGCATCAAGGTGAATGCCGTTGTTCACCTACGAGACGGAGATGTCGAAGCGGAGGCATGCGACCCGTTAAAAATCTGCCGAAAGTCGCTCAGTACCTAGTCCGCTGCAATGACAAGACACGTAGCTCACAGTGTGCTTGCTGTGGTATATACCACGTTCGCAAACCTGACCCAATCAATCTGAATGCAAGCATCACAAGAGGTCGATTGTAAGGGACAGCTGGCTGTATCCCAAAGCAATTCTTGTTCTCCGCTTGCAATTGTCACTTGCCTTGATTGAGCTCTTCGATTGGAGGAGAATGTAGTGTCCGCATTTGAGCCCTGTGTTTTGGCAGTGCATAGGTTTGAAAGCTGCTCTTATGTATACCGTACTCACAGAGGACAATCTTTCAGAAGCGCAATTGAATCGCAAACTGAAACCAACTCGGAAACTCAAACTTGGAGAGCAATCCACACGCGCAAAACAAGTTCACTAGGGCACCCAGTTTCCGGGTGCCCATCACCGGTTTTCCTCTCACCTGCATTGTGTGGGCACAGCGCGCTCGAAGACAGCTGGAGTGGGCAGCACGACAGCTGTGCTCGCGCTCCATTCTCCTCTTTGAGCCTAACCAGTGCCTGGTACCCCTCACGTGTCGCCCCACTCCTAATGCAAACCGCCAGGTTCAGTTTCCTCAATCTTCTGTTTTTGTTCAGCCCGGCAGAGAGAAGCAAGAGAGGCACGCTGTCGTCAAGCGCGATGGTGACGCTGAGGGTTAGCAGGCTCGGGTTAAGGGCCAAATACGCCGCCAGAAGGCAGGTCGCGGCCGGGTTCAGGTGGGCGGTTTGCAGGTCGAGGGTCTCCAACCCGAGGTTTGGCTCCAAAAGGCGCACAGCAGTGCGGGGAGCCATCTTCTCAGCCCTGACTACTGCTGGGAGCTTCAAAACCCTCAGAGTCTGGTTCCTGGCTAACCCTTCAAAGAGCGAGTCGAGAACCGACGGGTACTCCAAGTCGACTCCGGACAGCTCCAGCTGCGTCAGCTTTTCGCGTGCGTCCGCCATGAAAGGTACGATGGCCCCAAGCGCCGCCGCCGCCGGCACCCCTGGAGGTGCCACGTGGCACAACCTCAGCCGTTCAAGGGTCGGGATGCCAGCCAAGCCCCTCAGGATGGGGTCCAAAACCGCTGAGTTTTGGACGTCCAGATTCTCAATCGTCACCGACGTTATGGTCTGGCTCCGCCGGAGCGCCTCCCCTAGTTGCTCCGCCCGCCGCCAGGCTACCACCCGCCCTTCCCCCGTCCGCAACGACAGGACACTGAGCCGCGACATCGCCTCTCCGATGCCCCGTACCCGTTCTAGAACCGGTTCCCAGTCGCTCTCCTTTTCGACTACCAGGCACTCGGCCCGCACGGATTGCACCCGGCGGTACAGGAAGTGGCTCAGGGAATACATCCCGGTTTTGCCCTCCCACCCATTGGCCACTAGATTAAGCGCCCAGAACTCCGACAGCTTGCCCGTTGCATCAAAGAGGTCGTCGAACCAGAGCGTGTTCTGCAGACCGGACACGTTCAGAACCATCTCAGGCTTGTCTTGGAAGCTGATTGGGAGCTTGTCTGCGCTGCATTGGGCATTGGAAATTTCAGCAAAGCGGCCCACCAGCCTTCTAGCCGGGGACAAATCCTCCTCCCCAGCTCTTCTTTTTGCTGAAAGGCCCAGCTGAAAGCGACGGTAGCCAGGGTCAGCTTCTGCGGCACTCCCCCTCTGCCCATTGACTTGATTTGCACAGTCACAGAGATACCTGATCACTGCTCGAAATGTGGCTCTGCTGATTGGGGCCTCCCTCTCCGATGGGGAAAAGTCGGTTTGGCCCCAGATGACGTAGAAGCAGGCGCTGTCGATGATGTCACGCATCTCCCGGGAGACCCGCCGCTGACGCAGGCGGTCGCTCACTTTGAAGGGCGGTGCAAGGATCGCCAGCTGGAGGTGTTGGGGAAAATCAGAGAAGGAGCGAGATCCCCCAGCCATACGTTTCAGGGCGGGGGGAACGTCCATTGGAGGGAACAGGGTGGGAACTAGGGCCCTGAATATTGCTGCGCACAGGATCACAAGTCTTTGAAGCCAAGCTGTGAGAGCCTGTCTGCAGGTCTGAGATGTTGTGAGCGATGCTTGCATGAGTGTGGCCTGCTCAGGCCAGGTGTGTTCACATCTGGCACAGTCAAGCTGTGTTTACAAGCGGGCCGGAAAATGCTGGTCATGCAGTCCAGTGCTTTGCTTCTGCTAGGTTTCTGACCAACTGACAACGGGAAGGATTCGAGCTATGACTTGCTTGACCAACTCTGTTTCTTTCTGAAGGCCAACCCAGTCTGCAAGTTGCACCACTTCAATTGTCTCAGCCGGATCAAGAGTGCAGAAGCCTGAACAAAGACGCCATAAAAGTGCTTGACCTTTCCGTTCGTCACCTTCTGACGCCAATGTCACTGAAGCGCCGCAGTACTATTGGGGCGCTCAGCAGCAAAGACCCACTGGACGATAAAACGTTCTTCTCGCTATCACATGCTGATCAACTTGTGCATGGGGGTTGCGCATAAATTGGGGGATCCCGTTCAATGTCCTCCCGGTCTTCACTATCATCCGGGCCGCCTGAGCCGTTCGATGGAGGCTGTACAGTCCTCAAGGCCGTAGATTTGGCAGAAACCTTGGCATCGCAGTGAAACCTGTGAGGAGCGCTTAAAAAGTTGTAGTGTTAAAGCATTCTTGGAAGGTACGTCACGTGTTGATAAATAGGTCTTTCTGGCCGCTTCTAATCTCAGCGTGGCGTCAGGGTTGACACCATCCTGTCAAAAGGCACCATCAGCTGTGCGAAGAATGTATCACTGACTGAGGCGCGCTTGTTGAATGGGTGCACTTCAAAACGGTTCCTGAACTCAGGCAGCGAAGGGTTCCAATCACTGCTACGGTATCTCTCTCAAGAAGTGCGATCGGGTCAGCAAGTGCCCTCACTGTTCAGCAGGCTGAGCCTTATTCTATTGGCGTCATGGCTGCGCCGCCCCATGTCGCTGGACTCTTCATCTATCCTGTCAAGTCGTGCCGAGGCATTGCCCTGCAGAGGGCCCACATCACAGAGTATGGTGAGCAACAGATGGGGATCACTCTTTCTCTCTTTTCAAATACCTCCGATGGCATTCTTTCGGGCAGCTACAGTTGTTGAGTTGAATCTAGAGTGAAAGTGTAACCCGTGTTGCTTGGCACTTGCATCTGTTAATTGGGACACTGTTTGATTGCTTGGGGTTATTTGTTGCTAGCTTTTAATGAATTCCCGTTGAGCACACTGAAGAGGGCATGATTGTGTAAAGCTGGTCGGCAGCCGGTGTCAGAAAGCCACCGCTCCCTTTCCCCTCGCGGCGGAGCTCAACCATCTGTTTCTCACAACTTGCCTTCAGCTCCAACAGGAAGCGCTCCCATCGTTGCATGACTGCCCGGCCAGAGAGCACCCACTTATGCCCACTTCTGTACGTTTAAATTCATCACACTGGACAAGACAAACAGTCAGAGTTCCGCCCCCGCATCTACAGTTTCGCTCTCAACTGGTGGTGGATGTTAGACAATTACGAGGGCGGCTTGCTGACTCTCATTTCTAAGTGACCTTTCCCCCAAGCACCCACGCCCTTCCTGAACATGCAATGCTCAAATTTTCAGACACACACATAGACACACAAACAGTCGGACTTCTGCTCCGGCGTCTGCAGGCTTTGCTTTGACCGGTTGTCGATGATCGTCAAAGACAAGGGCCGGTTGCTGACTGTCACTGTCAAGTGACCCTTCCGCGAAAGCTCCCACACCTTCCTGAACATGCATTGCTCTGTCCTAAGAGACAAAACCAGTTAACTTCTGCTCCGGCGTCTGCAGGCTTTGCTTTTGACCGCTGGTGGATGGTCGTCAATGACAAGGGCCGCATGCTGACGCAGCGCCAGGCGCCCAAGCTGGCTCTCGTGGAGACGGCCCTTCCCCCAGAGGCTATCGAGGAGGGGGCCTGGAAGCCGCTGCCCCCCGACGCCGCACTCAGTAAGAAAACCTCTTTCACTGCTTTTTCTTTCTTCATCACTTTGGTCTGTTTTTAACATCTCTATTCTGTGAACCAAGCCCACACTTGGTGAGGAAACCTCGCTTATCTTTTCGTGTCTTGTCTCCTTTGATTTCTACTTCTTGTTTCTATCCTGCCGCTAGACGCCGCACGCTGTGACAAGACCTTCCGTTTGCAATGCCGTTTTGTCATTCATTTCCTGTTTCCTTCGTTTTCCTTTGTGAGAAAAATGCGTAAGTGCACTCAGGACTGCAGATTGGCACAAGCGACGACGCATTTGCATAGAACCCATAATGCAATTAGAGGGTCATGATTGGAACAAAATTGCCCCCTTACAGAGTGGCTGTAACCGACCGCTAGCAAATTTCCACTTGGTGCTTCTCCTTGTGACAAGCTGCTCCCGTTGCTCTCCACAGGCCTGAAAGCCCCTGGAATGGGACCCCTCCAAATCTCCCTCGCCACGCTTAACAGTGGGGGTGGCTTCTTATCCCGGGTGTTTGGAACCTCAACCCTGCCGAGGTTAGTGGAAGCCTCAGTGTGGGAGTGGGCGGGGCAGGCACTAGACGAGGGGGACGACGCAGCGGCGTGGTTCTCCGACTACCTCGACCGGCCGTGCAGGCTGGTGCGATTTGCGCCAGGTGCGTGGCTTTTCTGACGAGCTTTTGCGTTTCCCAAGACATGATCGAACAATCATGTCCCCTTATAAAGCTCGGAACTTTGGATTGTTTGTAAGTCTTGTAGGATATGAGAAACGGAAGGTTGTCGAGAGGCATTGAGCCGCGCAAAGGCTTCCAGTTTTGACATTCTTGCAGTCTTCCAGGCCCCTGTCTTTTGTAAATGGCGAAGTGGTCGCTTCCTTCCTTGACCTTAGACGCGCTCTGCTGACGAAACACGTTAGATATCTGAACGTTGTTGTGAATGGAAGAAAAGTAAACACTTTGTCTTCGCCAAAATACGAACGCCTTCTTGACTACATAAGCACTCACGTCTCCAACGTTTTTCAATATACGAAGAAGAATGGAGCGGGATCAGCAATTTCAGGAGCCTGAGCTTGCCGGTCGACCAGACTCGTGGGTGTTCACAGATTGTGTGTCAAGCCAGATTGTTTTTCTAGCTTTGACACTTTCGTACGATTGTGCACATACTAGACTTTCTTCGAACTCGCTGCTTGTCGTGAAGATTCCTTTTACCGTATCCTCTAAAAACCGCTCAATCAGCTCAGGTTTTGAGAAAACCGTACGCCACAGGATACGAGTTACTGGAATCTGCAATCTCTTTTTGCACCGTACTGTAAGTGCCTTCGTTGTGAAGACATCAGAGTCAGTCACTCTGCTTTGTTGCAGATGTGAACAAGAGGGACGTCGATCCAACTTATGCAAGTGGCTATACCACCCAGTTCACGGACGGGTTCCCATACCTGGTAGCATCGGAGGTGAGCCCACAATGCAACGCCTGCGAAAGCAGAAAAGACTGTTTCGATTGCAGCCGAAATCCAACTTCGAGAAATGCATGAATGTTGAATCATGCTCACAAAAGCTAGAACAGGGAGACCGGACGACTTCGAAGATCAGCGGCTACAAGTTCACCTCATTGCATCTGTCATCTAGAAGTAAGAAAGCGAAGCCTTCAGAAAGTGGCGCCCTTGTCTCGAAGAGAAGTTGCCAGCCGGAGCGCGAATTAGAAGGGCGCAGAAGGCCGTTTTATCCTTTTTCTGATCAAGAAGCGACTGACTCCATGTGAACGTTTTTCTCAAAGTTGCTCGAATCCACATCAGGAAGTACTTCCGCGCAAACCCCAGATTCTGCTCTCCGCTGGCGAATGATTAGTACACACGATCCAGTTTGACCTGCCGGTTCTGGTGGGCGTACAGCCAGCATCACACCGAAACGAGAAGCTAGAAGAGGGCATCATTTGTGCGATTCCCACCTCTTCGTCAGGTTTCGTTGCCACCGCCTCACTTTGCGTCATGGTGCTGTGCAGCCATCGCTCGCCGCTTTGAACGCAAGTCTGGAACAACCGCTGCCCATGAACCGCTTTCGACCAAAGTGAGTCCGCTCTCAGAAACACTCATTTTTTGAATTTGGGCTTTTTACTGAACACCGAGACGGACACATCCGAAGCCTTGAGCGGTGATCGCTCCTTTGCTTTGCGATCTGGTGTGCCTGTACGGTTGTCTCGGGGCATTTGCCCCTCACTTAAAAACGGTGGTCCAGCTTTTCTGTGTTCGAAACGTGTCCCGGGCATCGGTGGCGCTTACTCGTTCGGCCTTCTAAAAACGCGTATTCGGGCTTGAACGGAAGGAGGGAGAACATGGACTCCCGAGCCGATGTTATAGACCCCTCTTAGCCATAACTTTCTAGGATCGACGGTCTAGGATGAGTGTATGTACTAAGTGCGACCGTCGATCGAAGGGGTTATAGTCGGAAGGGGGTAACGTAGGGAGTCCGTCGGGAGTCCCTGTCCGCCTTCCATCCGTTCTGACAGCACTCGAGCAGTCGGCTCGGTCGAGCTGCCTCACCTTGAAGCAAGAAAATGATGTTCCTAGAAACTGATGCGGATTTCCTCATTAGTCACCAATTTCTTCGCCTGCGGCTCACGTTCGTTTTTGATTATCCGTGATGTTGCCTGAGTATCGTAGCCGCTCCACTGTTGTACCACCCCTCTCGCTACGATCCTTTCTTCAGCATCGTGGTGGACGGTTGCCAGCCGTTCGATGAGGACACGTGGGCGACGGTGAGCGTCCGGAGCCCGGGGGGAGGGACCGGGGTCACGTTCCGGGGCGTCAAGCCGTGCAGCCGGTGCAAGGTGACCACCACCGACCAGGCCACCGCAGAAGTCGGCAAGGAGCCGCTAGTGGTGAGCTAGGGTTCGCTGTTCCACCGGTTTGTTTTCTTTTGTTTTGTTCTGTTTCGTTTTGTTGCGATTTGTTCGCTGTTCCATCGGATTTGTTTCTCATGTTTAGTTCGTTTCCTTTTGCTCCGTTTTGCTTTTGTACTGTTTTGTTTCCACCAACCCGTCAAAGGCGTCGTGTCCGGCCATTTTGTCCGGGGTCGTCAGAAAGGAGCCTTCCACACAATCGGACGCGGCGGCGAACGAATTTCTAATCTTTCAGAAGGCAACTTTGATCTTGCTGTCGCTGCTGCCCCTGGGTTTCCTCGCTCTCGGGTGGATTCCAACGAGTTCCGCGCTTTTCGTTTCCCTTTCTTTCTCTCTCCTGTTTCCTTATTCTTACCTGATCTGGCGCTCCACTTGGGTGCGATTTGGTTATGATCTGTTTTGCCCTCGTATTATGTAAATGGACCTCGTGCCCTTCTCGTAGGAGTTCACCTGTAAAGCGTGGGAGGAACTCTCCTTGTTGTGTTTGCATCCGGTTCTCCTCTCATATCTGTGTGCTTTTTCCAGGTCAATCATCTTCTTCGTGAGCGCTCACCCCGGTTTCAGTGCTTCGCGTCTTGGTCTGTTTGCAGTCGGCCGAGAGCATTGTGTCGTTATATCTGCTTTTTAGAAATTGCGGTATCACGCTACGTGTTCTTTACCTGTACCGAACACGGTTCAAACCCATTGCCTTTGGAATTCCGATAGAAGATAGAGACTCCGGGTGCCGGGAGTGCTTCGAGCATGCTCTTCGTATCCTGAAATCGCGCAATTCGATTGAAGCGCTGCCAACACAAACCATCATTCTTTCTTCCTCGTAATTTGTCCACCCTCGCTTCTTGTTCAATACTCCCTCGCGGCAAGGCGGGGGAAGTTTCTTGTCTGAAAATCTGTGCAGAAGACATCCTCATCCTTAACGAAATCTCATGCCTGAAATTTGCATTGGTTGGCCTTTACGTAAAGACAATAGTACCCGTCTCCAGCAGCCAGTTCGTCGCTTTGCGAGTTTGAAGTCCTGTAACCCAAGCCTTCGGAAACAGCTGGACACAGGAGCAGTCCAGGTGGTCTCGGCGCTCGCTCTGCTGACGAGCTTGCAGCATATGCTTTTTCTCGGCCGGGGCGTTCGCACAACCGCTGCTAAACCTTTTTTCTTCCGGGGCTCTTCTCTCCGCAGACTTTGGGAAAGATTCGGCACGGAAAGCAGTTGGAGCTTCCTCGACCGTTACAAGGAGGCGTAAGTCACCGAATTACTGCATGCTCCTCCTCAGATTCCTTTTGACGCTTTTTTGACTTTCCTCATGTTCAAGCTCCATGAGTGTGCAAGTCGTTTCGTTCCCTTCGCATGGTCAGGGAAAATGAAGAAGCGCACAGCTTACAAACGCTGCATCCCGGCCGGGTTTTGCTTTTGAATTATGCTACTCACTGCGGTGCTTCCTCGATCCTACAGAATGTTTGATCAGCCCTTGTTTTCTGTAGACAAAAGTAAAAACCGCCCGTCACAATCTGAAAAGCACCTTTGTGAATACCAGGTTTACTTTGGGATGAACATGGTCGCCGATGCACTTACTTCCGGGCAAAGCAGCGCCACTGTCGGCGTTGGCGACGTGGCGGAAGTAGTGACTCAGCTCCCAGTGGGCGTGCACATGGCCCAAATCCATTCAGCGGCGGCAGCTAGCTAGAGCCAGCTCTGGTAGGCCCGTAATGGCTTTCGTCTCAGATTATTCTGTTCGTGCACATATGTAATTATAGCTTGAGTCTTGACGAAGATACCAAGGACAGCTTTGTATTGTTCGTACATATCCAGGTGTTGAAACCGCTCGCCGTAAGCAGCGCCAGAAGTTGCTTCCTAGGTCTACATGTTGACTTTCTTCAAGCGGGACAGGGAATGTGGGATTGCGCCATGGCTAGTCAGTTTGCATATGTAGGATATGTGCACCCTGATTGCAAGTATGCTAGAAAGCTAGTACGATTCAACTCTCCAAGGAGATTATTGTGTAGATATATGGACAATACGATCACCGTCCGGGGTCCGAGCATATATTTGCCATCGTTAGATTGTGTGTGAACTGGATATTGAACTGGTGGCCCTTGCCATTACGAGGATGTGAAGGATCACGCCTACATGCAACGAACGGGTAAGTCGACACCGGCGGCACATATGAAATTGTGTGGTTGTCGAGTTCTCTTCTCAGAAATTTTGGTGCGTGCAAGAGCAAGTTAAGAATTGTACGTGCGTTCGTACGCTTGAAGTACGAAATGACTGGGGTCTTAGCCGGGCGAACGATTCGGAACAATCAAGTGCACGTACGTTCGCAATTACCTCGATCCTGTACGGCAACTCAAGTGTTCCTTTCGTTGGAACAAAACCCAAACTAGTTGCATGACTGTTGGCATACATATCTGCACAATGACTAGTTCCAAATTCGATGATGTTTAATCGTACCCGGCCCTTTGACCCTTCAAGTCTGAGTAAGTCTCAACAACTTGGGCCGCTATAAGTTAGATTATATAGTCCACATTCGTGCAATTCAACCGCGAAGACCGCAAGAGAAACGAGCGGGGGGGCCTCGGGGGGGCGGCAGCCCCTTGATATATTAGGTGCAAAAGCTGTCGATCAACTGCACACGAGAGAAGGAAGCAACATGTGGAACTTGTCAAAGACAACTTCAAGCACTCGCTTCGTACTCCCTCCTGGGAGCACTGCCGCTGTAACACCGAGTTCGCTTGGCGAACACCAATTTTATAAGAAAATGGTCATTATTCCACCGGTGTAGTAGGGACTAGGTAGGTAGGTATCCTACGGATAAGTCCTACACCTAACTTATCAGAAGTACCTAGGCAGGTACCAAGATTCGTCATCTTGAGCTGTCATGACAGCTCATCCTCACGGTGCCAGTACCTATTGCCTACCTAGTGACTCGGATCGGCTAGAGGCTATAAATGTACCTGCTGGAGTCTGGAGGCGACTGTTCGAACAGTACCGGTACACCGGTAGGTACCTACCTAGATGAATGCACAGATTCCTGTTACCTGTACCTATACACTGCAGCAGACGCTGACGTGACGGAATCAGACGGCGGATACGACACGAAGGATATACGTACGGCAGATTGCATACCTCGCATTTCAACCGGTACATAACACACGCAATGATTTGCTGTCGTACCGACTTCCTTGTACCTACTGGAAACAGAAACACCCGTGGGCCGTACACCGGTACGCACCCTAAGAGGTACCTACCGTAGGTACTAGGTACGTAGGACTTTGGCAACTCTCGTGTGACCAAAGTGTGACCCAACCACCTAACCACCTTACCGCCTCCCGGTTCGACCCCACCCGTCTCCCGGGCGCCTATCTACGGTATGCCTAGCTGCCAGAATTGAGTCGACGCTCGTAACCCGGCTCGGGGTCCCGGCCGCCGTCCTCGTCGCCATGGGGTCGGCCAACCCAGCCTCAGAGGTTTTTGCATGAGGAAACAATTTTAAGAATGGTACCTATTGAACTTTGAAGCTATGGCCCGCCGACAAGTCGTTGACAAAAGTTCCATGCGCCGTCGGTACCAATTTTGTGGTGCGGGGTATCGTACCCTGGAGGTACTTGGTCGAGAAGTCTGACGCCCATGTTCTCTGTCAGGCACGGGTGACGGAAGAGGCAAGTACTAAGGTCTAAGGGTGTCGTTCCACTAGCGGCCGGCAGAACATTTTAAATTCTGTGATTGGCTGAATATTGCTCTACCGTCGGTCAACTACCGGAGTTCCGGGCAAATAAATGCCACGTCGGCGGCACAACTTTTATTAAAACTCGACCCGACAATTTGATGGGTCGAGTTTTAAATAAAAGTTGTGCCGGGACGTGGCACCGAGTCTGCGAATCGCATGCCGCCACGTTGGATTCTGCATTCAATGCTCTATTTTTTGGCGCAAACTCTGCCGGTCAGCTGTTCCACTAGCTGCCGGAAATTGGAAATATATCAGACTTCCGGGCAAATTCCGGCTGCTTTAGAACCACATACTTTATTGATTTTTGCACCTGTGCAGGCCGCTAGTGGAACGACACCCTAAAATTATACCTTTTAATAATACCCTGAATATTGGCTCACGGCCCACGGGCCGCACCAAGCCAGGTACCGTCGCTACCCTGACCGGGGCCGCCACACACTAGGTACAATCGGCCGGGACGATGGGAGACGCAGGTCGGGAGTCGGGACCGGTGATACACGGTCGGTACTCCCGAGTCAAGACTCCCAGAACAAGCAGTGCACATTGCTGCGTGCACCCGGCTGCTCTGTCGGAGTCTGTCCCAGGCATGTGCCCTGTGCGGCTGCACAACTGCACACTGCACACTGCACACACGTACCTACTGCAGAGTGGCGGACTCTGGAGGCTTTTAGGCGCGATCCAGCCACCGGAGATCTCTCGACTCCTGATCGAGCTGCAGCCGCAGGTGTCCTTGTCCTGCCTAGAAATCCGGCGAAAGGCCAGCTGAGAGGTAGCGAGCCGATTTGCTAAGGCCCGTAAGGGGTTCATGCAGGGCTCCAGCTGGAGCTTCAAGTTCAGGGCTTCCACCACCGTCGAATGCTGGCCCTCGTGTGGTTGCCGGGGCGATCAGCGATGACCTATCTGCAAGGCGCTTCGTAGGAGGGAAATCCTGCAAGAGGCAGCCAGCTCAGTAGCGGTGTTCCTCGCCAATGCACAAAGATCAGAGGAAGGGGCTGGGGTATTGAGAGGTGGTTGACATTCGTTGCAATGGCCTGGTGATTGAAAAGGGGGTTTCCCGGCAGAAAATTGAGATCCAGGAATGGCGCAACGTCTCCTGAGGGCCTTGTCTCCTTTCAGGAGGAGGTCTGCTGCGCAGGTGAGACTGTCAGATCTGGCTGCCAGTTGGCGTCATTCATACTGGCGAGAGATCTGCTCTCTTAGCTTGACATTGTCCTTCCTCACACGATTTTGCACATAATGCGGGCTGCCCTGTGCGTCAACTCCTTCTTATGAACGGGTTTTGAGCGTCAAGTAGTCTTCTGCATTGACAATGTGGGGGCGCATTCACAGAGCGAGCCATCTCTGTGGCAGCCGCAACTCGTTGCATTTGTCGGCTTGTTTTTCTGGGAACGGTCCCTGACGTCCGGACAAGTCCAGACTTATTCATGGCGCCCTTCGGAACGAATCCCGTACTTCAGAGTTGGGTCGTACTTGTAATGGCGCCATGCTTAACCAATCTCAAACGTTACATGCCCGGGATTTGGCGCGCAGGGTTTTGTTGATAGAGCTCAAAAAACAGGCAGGTTTTGTTCAAGGCGCCTTGATTTCAAGTCCTGAAACGTGCGCTCTCAGGTGCCATCTCTTCACGTTGCTGCTGCTTGTCCGTGACTCCAGTCTGAGAACATTTGATGGAAACTCTGTCTGGATATGACTGCTTTCATCCTACCATTATCTGTTTGCTACTGTTGTTTGTTGTCCTGCGATCGAGGAGCAGTTTAAGCAAGCACTCTGGGACACTGATTGTGCAACATCTGAAAAGCAGACGTAATTTGCACATTCTGATCTGGTGAAGCACGCATTGAGCACTCCGAATTCTGGCAGAGCTCAAGTTGGTGAAATCCTTTTAAGAAGTTGCAGTCGCTATATCAGTTGCCACGTTGCGCAGCTGGCCTCCTCAATAGACCGGGCACGAGCATGCGATTCCAAGTAGAAGAGAATTACTGGAACCGCCTTTATTGCCACATTGTTGGTTCATCCTTGTTGAAGTCTCTTCAATGCCACACTTTAGCAACGGCGCCTAGAAAACTGGGAGCGAGGGACATGAGAACTTGGTCCTAGTCACTCAGAGTACTAGTGGAGTTGCGACTTCTTCATCAGGCCTGATTTGCGTGCACTGATCCACACAAAGGAAAGAGCACCTTTTCTGGTCTGCTCGCTGGCTGCGATCGATCCACCAACTTTGACCGCTTGGTGCTAAGGTTTCAGCTCAAGCATCAGTGAGGTCTCTCTGTGGCTCCTTTTGCAGTTTGCTGACTGCATTGCACTTTGTTGGCATCATTTGCTTTGGCCCACACGTTGGAAGCAACCCCTCAATAAGCTAAGAACGGATGTGAGATGCTATCGGGCGTGGTCCAAGTGCAACATGAGATATGAGAACATTCGCCCACATTCCCAAGGGCACAAGCAGACAGGATCTGACACTTTTGTAGCAGCGGGAAAGCATGTACCTCTCTGCGCATTACATAGTCCGTAAACTTGCCTGACGGCATTGTTGCATATTTCAAGCGATCCAGGGCTCCGCTTATCGACATTGCTCAGATTATTCGCCCTCTTTACCTGTTGCAGAAAGCGCAGGAGGCCAAGGAGGAAGAAGAACGCAAGGCGCAGCTTCTGAAGGACAAGGAGGACTTGGAAGCGGGGGGTCCATTCTCGCGTGCTAGGACAGACGAGGAGCGGAAGTTGCAGGCGGCCCGGCGGAAGGAACACGAGGTTGCGAGGGCGCAGCTGTTTGCGGGGAGGGAGGAGGCCCCCATAAAAGCAAATGGAATCCACGAAGGGGAAGGCAGGAATGGCGAGGAGTCGCGGACAGTTGGGAGTTCGCCGAGCAGAGCTAGAGGGGTGGGGCCGCCTGGCAAGTTCAGGGACGGCGGGCCGCGGGAGAATGGTGCGCTTCGGCAGGAGAATGGGACGGGGCGGTTCCGGTTTGAGAATGGTGATGCTGAAAGGGCGCAGATGAAGGTGAGGGGCTTTGGAATGCGTGCATCCGTTCCTTTGTCTGATTATAAGTGGGGGAGGAATCTGGAAGCTCAACAATCTGTGGGCGCGTGAGAAGAGGAAGTCAAGATCAGACACGAGCTTTCTCGGGCAGAGATGCAGGTACTCTGTTTTGGCGCCTCGCCAGGTCGGGTCACGCTTGATTGAAAGGCTGCCTGCTGTCTGGCTGGCGAGATAAGTCCATTCATGAGAAGCAGCCCTCTGCTTACTGTCAGCAAGATAGTCTGCAGGTCGCAACATGGGTGCTTGCTGTAGGGCCCATTTGCTTTAGGGTGCGCGTAGACCGAAATGCTGCAAAAAGCTTTTCCAGATTTTTTTGCCAATCGGAAGGCTTTCAAGATCCACGTGGGAACCCAAGGTATGTACCAGAGGAGCTGTATGGGTTGAAAAGTACCCTACCTTCTACCTGTCGGTACTGCAAAGGCAACAGGGGAGGCCAAGTAGGTTATCGGTCCACGCGCAACCTTACCTGTTGGAATCGCGCACACAACAAGGACAGAGCAGGAACAAGCCCGACAGAATGTTGTCTTCATTGCAGCAGTGAACAGGACTCATTGCTCCTGAACGACAAGCATTTGCTTCCTATTCGGCTAGGGGGGTTTACATAGGGGGGTCTTCCCTGATTCCCCTGCCTCTTACTCTTTCCACCCCCCCAAGGTCTTAGTCTTTCTCCCCCCCCACACGTTTGCAGGAGTCACCAGGCAACTTCTCCCCCGTAAGCCCTCTGACGGCTGCCGCCAGCAGCAGCAGCAGCAGCCCCTCCTTACAGGGGGTCCCGATGAACGGCACGTCCTCCCCCCTCTCAGACCGAGCGTCGCCCCCCCAGGGGGGCAAACCCAAGCCCTCAGAGGGCAGCTTCAGCTCCCCCCTGTCTGGAAACCCGCTCCTGTCAACCCTCTCGGAGCTGTCGAAAAACTCGGTACAGCCGACGTCCACTGCGCAAGATGCGGGGGAGACAAAACGGCCGCTCGCGAGGCCGCTGAACATCAGCTTTATGGGCAGTTATAACAGGGAGAGGGCAGAGAGCGACGAGCTGAAAGAAGGGGCGAGGGCGGCGTCGCCACGCCCCCGGGGGGGGGCAGATCCGGATGTCCAGAAAGAGCTCGTGAAGACGCCGGCGCGTGAGGAGGTTAAGCAAACCAGCACACAGGTCAAGCAGCACACCGCAGAGGTTAAGCAAACCAGTCTGGAGGTTAAGATTCCTGAGCCGGTGGAAGAGCCAGAGGGGCCGACGGCGGCCTCGCCGTTCCGCCTCACGACCAGCCCGATCTACATGCCCCCAGAACCGAAGGTGCGGCGACCGCTGCCCCCCCGGGAGGAACACGAGGACGAGATTCCGTGGGCAAAGGACAGCATGATGCGGCGGGGGGGTTGGGCGAGCATGATCATGGATGAGAGTACGTACAACCTGCCGCGCATCGCCGTACGGGTTTCGTCGCCGGATACGGGGCTGGGGGGGGGGCGGTGTCCCCCCGGTTTGCGTCCCCGGGGGTCTCTCCAAGGTACCCGAACGGCAGCCGCAGCCCCCGACACGCGGCGCCGACGCGCGCGGTCAGGGGGCTGAAAACGCCGGAGAAGCAGCCCCCCAAAACGAGGTCGCCGGGCAGCTTCTCGGCCCCCCTGGTGCGAACGGAGCCGCCAGGGGGCCGCAGCCCTAAGCAGGGGTTCATGAGGGGGACAGCGAGCAGCAAGGTGAAGACAGCGAATGCAAAGGAGGGGGGGAGAATCAGGACCAGTAGTACCCCCCGGAAAAAGATTCTACCGCCAGTGGAGGCCAAAAGAGACGACGCTTTTGCTGGTGAGGGTGGGAATATGTCGGAATTACGTTCTGAGTTTGTATTTGTTTGCTTTCGACTTTGTGCTTGTTTGCATTTACCCATTGGCTGACTGATTGATAGACTGTTTTGACTCAACTAACTAAATTGGAATGATCAAGATCGTGTTCATGTTCTGAGAAAGTGACAGCTGGCGGCTGAAGTTGGCATTTTTAAAGGCCTTTCTGTCATCCAGATTCGGAACAGACCCTGTGAGCCCTGTACACCAAGAGCTGCCAGACCCTGGTATTCTTGCTTTCTTTTTGGATTGTTCGTGTTGAGGAAAGCCGTTGTCTCTGCTTGGTTGTTGACTTGACAAGTTGTGCAGAACTCTATCATGTTTGGTGTGAGCATACCCAAAAGAAGCGCCTCTTCAAGAAAAGCATAACACATGTAAAGGTGTTCAATGTCGGAGTGATAAGGGTTTGTGAGGACAAAGCTTTTACTGGTCCTCTTTCATTTGACAGGCTCTATCAGTCTTGCCGTTAGTCATTGAAGAAGCAGGACAGACACATGCTGGAAGTGACCTCGATTTAGTCTGCCTTCTGACGGTTAGGCTGGCCGTCATCCGACTAAGACACAATCACCAAATGCGAGGTTGTACTAAAGCCCTACCGCCCATCAACGAACAATTTCTGATCTTCACTTCCCCGACTGTTCAGGCGACAAGCTGTTGGACTTTGGCGCCAGCTTCAGCCCCGCAGAGCGCGGCTCGGAGTTGTTCCTCCGCAAAGCCAAGCAGCCCGTCTCCGGCGGGAGAGCCTTTGGCGCTGGAGATCGCCATAACCGTCTTCATCGCAGCGCCAGCTTCCCCGCTGTCGGGGTCACTCCCTCCGAGATGGCCGAACTCGCAGCGCTCAAAGCGCAGCTCTCAGCCGCGCTCCACATCCCCTCCCCCTCGGCTGCCCGCAGGAAGGACCCCCCGCCTGAAAGCCAAGCCGCAATACCCGAAACCCTGCTGAAGAGCCCGCTGAAGAGCCCGCTGAAGGGCCCCCAAAAGAGCTTGCTTGTGAAAACAAAGAGCGTTGGGGGGGTGCCGGAGGTTGATCTTTCCGGGGGGGTAGAGGAGCCCCCAGCTGTCCCAGCAGATGTGCCCCTGGCGGCAGAAGCTGCCTTCTCCGCACCTCTCAAGAGCCCCAAGTCGCCTTTAAAGGCGCTCTCCGGCGGGGCAGTTGCACAGCCTACCAAGTCCCCCGCCGAGAAGCCGCGCACCGCCTCACCCCGGCGCTCGAGCTCGCCTCTGCGGAAGCCCGTCGCCTCTCCCAAGGCTGCCTCGCCGAAGGGCCCTGTTCCGACCAAGGACGCGCCTTCCCCCACCTCGGCGCGGAGCACTTCGGGTCAAACAGGCTCCCCGAGCCCCAGCCCCAAGTCGCCCAGTGTGAAAAAGCCCCCACCCGCCCCCAGGAACAAACCCGTCTTGGAAGTCGACGTCCCCGCTCGCCCGAGCCTGGTGACCTCACTCCTCGCGAGCCCCGGAAGGGGATCCCCCCGTAGCAGCCCCTCTTCTCTTCACTCCCCCGCGTCCAGCCCCTCTAGGAGCCCCCTCCGCGCGAGGCGCGCCTCTTCCCCCTCGGGGGCGTCTTCGCTGATGTCACCCACGGCGGCGAGCCTCAACAAGGCAATCCCCGGGAGCCCCCAGGCGCGATCCCCGAGCCCCAGCCGACTCTCGCGGTCGCAGTCCGTTGGAGGCGACGAGAAAACGCCGTCCCCCCGAATGTCAGCCGTGCGGAGCAACTCGCTTCCGGTGAATCTCGACAGACTACCGGGGTTGGGCAAGACCCGGCGGGCGTCGAGCCCGACGCCCGGCGTGCGGGCGGGCACGCAAGGGGGCTCGGAAAAGCGCGTGGGGAGCCCCGGGCGGGCGAAGCTGAAGCCGGCGGTGCCGAAACGGGAGGTGACGAAGAGGGAACTAGGCACGAGGAGACTGTCGGACGTGTCGTCTGGGTCGAGCGAGGAGTTGGTCGATTTGGGAGAGCCGACGTCGCTTCTGCCCGACGATCTTGCGCCGTCTGAGGAGGGGTCACAGTCCGTGAGTGAGCTGGTTTCTTCCCAGGGAGGAAGCGGCGAGGTGCCAGCAGAAGAGGCCCTGTCTGATAAGGCTGCAGACAAGGATGCTGACATAATCAGCGACGGGAAGGATGATGTCAGAAGCAACTGGAAGGCTGACGTCAGCAAAGACGGAGCTAAGCTGGTTGCGGAGGCTGAGGGCAAGGTGGCGGTTCCTGAAGCAGTGGATGAGGCGGGTCAAGAAGCAGCAAATGATACGCCGACTAGAGAAATTGAACAGATTGGGAGTGGTGGAGAGGGAAACGGTGAAGTTATTAAGGCGGTTCGGGAGGACGATCAAGAATCCAAGAAGGGCGGGGTGCAGCAAATGGTCGCTTCCGTGAACGCAACCTCCGCTAAATCGAACGAGGCCGCTACTTTCGCTTTTGCCAAGCACGCTGACGTCATCAAGGTGCAGGAGGTGGAGACCGAGACGCAGGTCGAGTTTGGCGCGGGGGAGTTCCCCTCAGCTGCTAGCCGCGGGCTCATTCTCGAGGACGACTCGCTGGAGATGCTCCCGGGGGCGCCTCTCGTGGCCGCCAATCGCGTCACCAATCCAGAGGGGGGGGCAGCTTCAGCTGGGACTCCTAGTGTGCACGGAGGGGGGGAAACGAAACATGGCTCGCTTTCGGAGCCCAGTGCTGAGGTCCAGAGGAAACAAGTGGTGTCGATCAGCGAGAAAGAGCGGCGCCGGGCCGAGGTCGCGAACCTGCTGGCGGCGTTACAGGAGCGGGAGGAGATCGACTACATTGCGCGCCTCGTGCGCAGGGCGCAGCGCGAGAAGGCGCAGCTCTCGCGGCCGGCCAGGCCCGAGGACGACCCCCCCAGCGTGACGAGCAGCCTCGACAGCCTGGGGTCGGCCGGGGCGCATTTCGAAAAGGGGGGGGAGCCCGATGGGGAGAGCGTTCAGAAGGCGGGCGAAGTACATAGGACGAGCGCGGAGAAAGCGCCTGAGGCCCCCAGGAAGAGCTCTGAGGAGGGCACGAAGGTCTCTACTGCGGAGAAGTTCGACGACATCAGCCCCCCGGAAGCTGAGGGTCCGGCGGGGCTTGCGGGGTGGAGCAAGATTTTGGGTGCGAGCGAGGGGGGCGAGACGGCGGTGTGGGTGGATGCGGGAGCAAGGGTTTTGGAACCCCCTGAAGAGAAAGCCACGGACGCAGTGCTACAGGCAGTGGAGACGGTTGTCTCTTCCAAGGGGGTGCCTGAGGAGCCAGAGCGGAGGGTGGTGCAAAGCCGGGCCGAGGTGGGGGTTGTGCAGGGAGAGGAAACCGCAGTTTCCGTTAGCAAGATGGAGGTGGCTCCCATGGCTGGTGTTCGGGACCGAGGATTGGAGAGCTCGTCCCCTACGGTCGACGCGAAGGTGAGCGATCGCCTTGGTGATTGATTCCGATCGGTGGCATACAATAGGATCCTGTTCTTGCCTTCCCTTGTTCAACAACTCAGTGATTTGATTCATTTTGTTGGCGTTCTGTCGGGCCCTGCTTTTGCCCCTCCCACTGTTCATTCATCCCCTGTCTGTGACGGTTGGGACAACATGTTCTCAATTTGACCTCCTTAGCAGCAGTGCAGGCATTGCCGCAAAATGCTGTGAAACGCAGATTTGACTGGGGCGAACTTGGAGAAACCGAAAGGCACACCTGGACTTTCAGCAGCTTCATTTCTGGAAGATGCAACAGATCTTATTGGTGCAAACCCTTTGGTTACAGGAGCCACCCCGGCGCAAGGAAAGCGCCACCATCAGCATGCCCGAGAAACCCGCTAGGGGTGCGGCCGAGGGGCCCGAGACCGGGCTGTGGGACACCCACCCCAGCCCGACGTCTCCGCTGGACTTCCTGGACGAGATGCAGGGTGAGCCGTCCAAACCTTTCAAATTTTGTGGTCGCCGTCTAGCTTACGGTAAATGACTTTCCACTTGTAATGAAAGTGGCTCGGAAAGTGGCTAGGATCGTCCAAACCAGTCGTCAGTCGTCAAGAGCCGTCCGAACCAAGTGTTGTGCCGGATGGCTCTGCAAATGCTGTGTCAACCCGTCCACAATGGTCTCTAACCGTCCACAGTTGAAGGGCCTGTTAGCCGTTCTGCCCGCGAGCTCACTGCTTCGCTGTTCTTCATCATCAACCTGGCTTTCGAGTTGGCAACACAGCCCACGCCTGAGGTCAAGGCTTCGCCGACCTCCTCTGTTCTGGTGCGTTCCGTCCGTCCGTTGGCTTCTTCGACCCTTGTCTCAATTTCGTAACTGACTCACCTCATTCGTCCTCCTGCAGACACCCCCGGACCAGTCGCTAAACCGACTTCCCACGAGAAGTCGCGCTTCCGAAAGGCGCCGAGACCCGACCTAAGGAACCCTGTGGTTTACGTCGAGACCGCGCTCGCACATGCGGGGCTCACGGCGCCCGAGCCGCACCCGCTGCCCGAGTGGTTTAGCCAAACCGAGGTCCTTAACCCGGCGCTCTTCCAGGAGCTGGAGCGCCAGGTCGACGCGGACCTCCTCCCGTCCGGTGGCCACCGCAAGGGCGCCACGTGGCGCCTCTCGCTCGACTCGACCGCGCTGCGCGACGCGTACTCGCGGCCGCACACCCCCCGCAAGGAGGGCTACCCGGACCGCCGGATGCTGTTCGACCGCATGGACGAGGTGCTGGGGGAGCTGCTCGCGCCGCACCGCGGCCCCCCCCTCGGGAAGCGGCGGCTGCGGCCGTTGCGGCGCCCGGGCCGGCGGCGCGCGCGGCGGCGGCGCGAGTGCGACGGACGACGGACCCCGGCCGGGTCCGGACCGGTCGGCG